ACCAGGCCCATAAGTCATGGTTGGTTGCATCATTTGTCCATACGTCTACAAATAAGAAAGAAGAGGATTCCCATCTACGCAGATTGAAAATTACACTTCTCGAGAGCAAGGCTTGGCGCTCATCCTTTCATATGATTGTACGTTTTCATACACATGCAAATTAAACTTATTTTCATACTAATGGTTGAGTACCAAGCCTCGTTTTGAAAAAGAGGCAAAAGGTAATTCGGAATTGGCCTATTGTTGTTATCAAGTGATCTTCAATTTAGCCGAGCCTTTTATCTAAACATCTGTTTTTTTGTGAACAATGTCAAGAGGGCCGAAAGCTAATATTGAAAGGACACGAATTCAATTAAATTAACCATCCTATAGAGAATTTCTGAGGCCCACTGCTTGCAAATAGCCGGCCTTTGATTAGGCTCACCTGTCGAGATTGCGCGTGACTGTAGCAACACGCGCACACCTTCATTGCGCAACAACAGATAGCCGCCAAGATTCCCATGAGAAACTCTAAAATCCCAATGAACAGAATGATGCCAGTGATTGAATATTTAGCCTCTTCTATCGAATAGTAGGAGTTGTAATAACTGTAGTAAGAATTTGAGTGAATTGCAATGCTGTAGAAAATAATGATTATTCCACTAAGCACAGATGAGGTGATGGAGAAGCCCATGAAGACACTGGCCTATAATTGAATGAGAGATGTTACTGTTACCGAAAAACGGTCTCGTCTCATGATTTAAGATTTAACAGAACACGATTGCAATTAAGGTTGGGAAGTTGTTAGATGTTCTAAACACAAACTCGATTGACGTTAATCTCGCCAACTGAACTTGGACTCGAATGGACGCGTCCATACCAACAAAAGGACTTTTATATGATCTTAGGGGTCAAAGAAAAATCACGGGAAAAAAACCTAAAAGAGTTTAGGTGATGGTGGGTGAAAATAATACCCAAATATAGGGGGAAATATCCACAATATGAATCATATAATTCATGGTTTTGTATGATGCAAAGCTCGGTTAGCTCTCACTTATGATCTAATGGAGGACAGAAGCGCAAGTGACGTCAACTATAACAAAGGTTTATCTTTTAATCATCAGTAACAGATAGATTCCATGTTCCCGCGAGTCTGTGCAGTGACATATCACAGAAGACGTGTGTTACCGATTTTGTTGCCATATTGTTACGTCTTCGGTTATTTCATTGCGTGGCAACATGGAATATTTGCTAAAGTGAGAATGCGAGAGGGATGTTTATCTTTAAAGCGGCCGTTACAGACAATTTAGTGAAGATTAAAAGATTTGTCAACTCACAAATATATCTCGGGAGTTAGTTCGTTCCCTGCGAGTACCAGCAACACCCAAAATTCCCGTGATACCCATCTAGAGACAAACAAACAGCATTAGCAAGCCTGAGTAGGCGATGAGGGAAAATGGAAGTATTTAAGAAAAGCTTATCAAATTTAATGTGCAGAGGGGAAGGATAAAGCGTTTTGATATTATTTCCGTGTCGACTGAACAGTCCCTTAATTTGCCTAGCTAAAAAAATTCGGAATGAGTAAGAAAGGAAATTTGATGAGGAAAAACGTTTAGCTCCCATCCGTCAAGGTCTCTTTTGTTTATGGATGTCCAGAAAATTGCAAATGTCAGCCACTTGCTTCAACTTGTTACTTACACTAGCATTTGCACTTTATATCAACTGCCTGTAATCAATAACCGTGACTGGTATCTCAATGCTAAGGAAGTGTTTTGGTTTTGGTACAGTCTAGGCTTCCTATTATCAGATACAACTGATGGAAGCATTCGAAACAAATTAAAGTATTAAAGTATTACTCAAGTTATGAAATATTATAAATTATTAATTATTATTAATTAATTAATATTATATAATAATAATATAATAATATTATATAATATTCTATAAATTAATAATAAATATTAGTTTATAATATAATATATTATATTATATTTATAATATATTATGAAATATTAAGTATTACTCAAGTTATGAAATTGATATTCAAACATAAATCTCTTCATGTAAGCTGGAAATAACTGTTCATCGGCCTGATGGTTGAAATTAAACAGTTTCAGAGTCCACATAGATCTTGAACCCTTCCAAGAATGGCTTGAAGAGCGAACTATTAATGAAACTAATAACATTGTTACTGTTTATTTGTTCTCTTGCAGTTTATTTTTTTTTATTCATACTCATTCCACTTTTAATCCTGATTATTGTATACGCATAGTTTAATTTATTGTTTCAATTATTTTATCTCCCAGATTTGTTTTATTTCCTTGTTTGGTAATTATTATTTTTCGAGCTCTTGGTTTTCATAGGCGCTGGTTGTTGAAAAAGGGCTGACCCTCCTGTTAGTGAGCAGAATTCCATTCTTGTCCTTAATTTTGTAAAACCACATCATGGATAATCTCTACAGCTTTGACGTAAAGGTCTATTTCATGACAATCAGATTGATCAAGTGAGATAACTTGAGATGGAAAAAGATTAAAAGACTCTATGGACAGGGGTCATTCTGGAACTTCAATCGTCCCCTCTTTCCTCCCCAGCATATTCTAATTCGCAAGGTGGAGGACCATGATAATCAATTCCATTGGATAATGTTTCTCCTTCGGGTACATCTGGGTCAAAATGATACTGAATTTCACCATACATGTATCATTGAGCAGGTGTAATTCGCAAGGTGGAGGGCCATGATAATCAATTCCATTGGATAATATTTCTCCTTCGGGTACATCTGGGTCAAAATGATACTGAATTACACCATACATGCATAATTGAGCAGGTGTCATGTTCGATTCAAATCTGAGAGAATGGTTATCAAAGTCATCCTGGAAATACATGATGCAGTCAATATAAGTGCAATTCATTACTTGTCTCAACGTACCCTTTATCTTTAAGAAACGGAAATAGATGGTAAAACACGTTCTCAGGTGAAATGAATTCCTAGTAAGAAAGCTATTATCCTGCGAATGCCACAGTTTGGAAAATTTTGCAAGGTTTTCTTCACAAAGCCGTCCAAACAGTCGTCAGAAATATCACTATAATTTTGGTACCCCCTATCGTATGTGAAACAGTCGAATTCATTCACTATTTGTTTTCCTGCCTGTGCAAAACATTTCTGCCATTTTTTCAAGTAAGAAGCCTCAACTGAAGTACAAATTAATATTCTCTCGTGGTACATTAAAGGCTGGTCGTCTTACTTCGCCAGAATTTATTACTAGCAAGGTTCGAGAACATTCAGCACTTTGCTTATTTCTACTTTTCAAACACAGATAACTGTATGACTCCATCAAGAGCATCGAGAGCATCATCAAACACATTGCCTTTTAAAACGATTTGACATTGAATTCAAAACGTCAGAAGTTGATCCACCTGGTACAAAGCATGATTAATTCCGTTGCGGTCATTACCGAAACCAGTGCACTTTCCAACATTTGAATAAAATTAGAAATGACGTTCTTCAAAAAAGAATTAACGTTAGTTAAAGGAGAACTCAGTGTGCTAAAGGAAATTTTCACAGAAAGAGACGATACACAACGGGACGATTAAAAACGTGGTTACCATTGGTCACCGGCAGTGACTACTACGGCACGAATTACGTTTCAACGGCACGAATTACGTTTCAACGCCACGAAATGTGGAGTGACTCAAGAAGCGACATTAAAGACGCCACTAAGATAGCTCCACGTAGTATGACTCGACGACACAAGCAAAGGATATTAATTTTGTCTTCGATTTGACTCCATAATCCAACATACTCTACGATTTCTGAAATCATCCCACCGTTTTAAACACAATTCCGAAAATTATATCGTGGCAGAACACAATGTGAAAATAGGAGTCATTTTAGACAAACATCTGAAGTAACTATTCAATTACACTGTACGTAGCCAGTGTTCAGTTATGTCGACTGATTTAAATGACGTATGAAACAAGTCGCTACTTGTACCCACAACTCACCCATACACCGGTCCAAATTCCAAAACATAGGTTGCCTGTGAAAAAATCAGGAATAACATAGTCTGCGATACCAAAACAGACGAGAATAAAGCCTAGAAAAAGGTGTTCTATGGCAAGAAACCGCCCCACGGAAGCTGCCAGTGCTGAGTAGTCCGCCATGTTTGCCCAGCAGATAAACTTTCCGGAATATTAGAGCTCCAGTTCCTTAGTGAGTGACGTCAAGTTCCCACTGTCACGTCACGCTAAATCAGAATGGAAGCCTGTCAGAGTCCGGCAATTATAAAGAGCAATTCAATTTTTGAACCAGTGCTTGAACTGAATTCGAAAACAAAGAGTTGAAAGACGAAAATTTGTTTAGCGGAGTCTTCTTTCTCCTAAGTTTTGTTCTTTCCTCTTGTTCAGATCAGATGCGTGTGTTTGTCTGTGTAGCTTTGTTGTTTTCTGTGCGGTTTTCATAGGGTCACCAATAATACAACTGTCAAAAGAAGGTCAGATTGCAGATGTTTCTTTTTCTTTCTTTACTAATGGTTAAACAAGTCGACTTTAAAAACAAAGTTCTGATTACAATGCTTTTGAGAAATTTTTCTTGCTTAGCGTGCTTATGCAGAAAGTTACGTAAACGTGAATTTGAGAGTTAATCGAGGCGCCGAGTGTTCGATACCTCGATATATGCATAGCCAAAAGTAATTATTTCCTAACGTAGCATATTTTCTGCGCGAAAAATGGCTTCTCTCTCTTTTTGTGGTCAGCTACGATTTTCTCACGCTGTATGGTTAAGAAACGCATTCAAGCAAGAACGTTCCAACTGGTTAATCAAAAATTTCCGGTGAGAATTCTTCTCTTTAGAATTTGCTTCTTTCGATGAATTACGGAATATGTGGGCAAACAAAGTCGTAATACTTAAGTTTTGGTTAAAATGTTTGTCCGGTAAAAGTCAAAGGGTTTCGTTTATTTGAATGATTGTTTGTTTTGACTTGGTAAATTAGCCATGAATGGACTGGGTCAACCG